GTGCAGGTGGGAAGGGGGCAGGGAGGCAGCAGTGCCGCGGGACAGGCCTGCAAAGCCCTGCTCGCACCTTCACCCTTTTAGTAGCAGCCCCGCTCCCATCTGCTCCCCTCAAGAAACAAGGCCTGCTGCCTCGTGTCAGTAATGCTGAATTTTGCTTTTGTGGATATTTAATTTAATCAAATCAAATACATGGAACTGTCTCCACAGCTGCTCAGGAGTGTAGAGATACTAGTGCAGCTCTAACAGCTCAGCGCTGTTTATGCCTTAAAACCTTCATTCTTCAGAATGTATTGGCCAAGTTACCTTTGCTTTGGCCTCGGCCCAGCTCAAGCCGAGGAAAGGCCTGTTGTCCCTCCCTGTGAGAGAAGCACGGGGAAGCGCTGGGGAGAGCCTGCTGCTGATGGCTCTGCAGTACCCTCTACGCTACTCAACTCTGCTGCATTCAGACACATCTAAGTATGTGTAAAACCAAGCCTCTTCGTAATTCCCTGTTATGCAGTATTAAAAACTTACTTGTTGGTCTTAGATGGAAAAAAACACTATATAGTCTCATTCTACTTTGAAAAGCAAATCTCCAACTACATAAATATAGAAACTTGAATAAAGAGGATCCTTTGCTGTTCCAAGTTTTTTTTTTCTTTTTTTAATCTGCACATCTAAGTCCTTCAAAGAATGGATTGCTGTTATACACAATCAGCGCCTTGTACCAACAATGCTTAAACAACAGAGGCCAGGGAATTCTATTCCCAGCTAGCACAAGCAGATGATTTTAATGCTCTGAATCACAGAGAGCAGTGTACCTTTCACTTGCAGAAACCCAGCAATGAAATGGGAATAAAGGCCTGCTTCTCTTCCATGAACGCATTTCCGATTCCAAGAACATGACTAGGACTCTCAGAAACAACAGTGACAACCTTACTACTATTAATAAAAAAATAAGGCCAGCAACATGCCCCTTTCCATTAACTGGGAATTAAGAGGAGGTGGTAAGAAACAGCCACAAACAGAGAAGTCCTATAAAATTTGCAACTTAAAATAAAAAGGACTACTGACTACATTTCAAATCACTAGGAAAGCTAAACTCTGAGCTCTGGCTGATGATCAGCACCAAAGACTCCCTAGTTATTTTTATTCGTTACCTGTTACGGCGAGTTGTTTCCCAGAGACATGCAAGTGTAAAAGGCTAGTTCTCAAAAGCAGAAATATTAACACTTTCTTATGTCAGCTTCCCTCTTAATATGTTCTTTTTGAAAGCCCATAATCAGAAAGACAACAATAAAACAGTTGTGTAAGAATTGTGGGAAAGCAGGAACTGAGAGGAAAACTAGGGCCTAACAGAAGTTTTGGCATTACAGGAGCCTGCCTGGGGTGATCCACAGTTGCCCCTTCCAGGATGGCTGGTGTGCACGGACTCTGCTCCTCCACGGTTCCCTGGGCACCACAATCTGCCCTCCTCGCAGCTGCAAAGGGGAGTAATGGAGGATGGAGCGGGGTGAAGGCACCGCGGCCAAACTCTGTTGCACTCCCTGTGCTGGGCTGCTGATAAGCCACACAGTGGCTGTCTAATGGGAGATATACAATAACATGTCCGG